TGAGCTATCTGTGACTGTTGATATAGAGAGTTTTCAAGTGGTGAAAGAGTAGCCGACAGTTGCAATGGTCGCAATACTTCAAATATTTTTGATACTACACAGTATAATATGATTCTGTTAATCTGTTAAGGCATCATAAGTAATTTTTTTTTTTTTTTGAGTTAGAGAGGATACTGGTATTTGAATATAGATTAATTAATTACTGTTAGATTATTAATGCTATTATAATTGCCTGTTATATGATTAATTACTCTTTCCCCTTAAATTGTTGCAAATAAGTTAAAGAATATTAATTTAAAAAATATTTGCATTATTATAATTATTAAAATTCATTATTGTAGCCCCGGAACTGTAATATATAAAATATCTGGTTTTACAATACCTTTATCAGTTCCAAAAACTTTTGGAACTGATAAAGGTATTGTAAAACCAGATATTTTATTATAATTATGTTGTGAAAGCTAGACCCAGAGAATGAAAGTCGTGTAAACTCAACTATGGACCATCGTTGGTCCAACAAAAGTATCTTTTGTTGGTCCAACGGAGTGAAAAACGGTTGGACAACGGTTGGCTTGATGTATGATACCCAGCAATGCATATTAATGTATTTCATTAACAATGAACCAATGTTGGTCCACAGTTGTAAATATTGGTTGGCCCAACTACGAGATATACAGTTGGACAACGGTTGGTTGGTTGTGGAAGCTCCAACCAACCATCGACCAACTGTCCCACAGTTGGCCAACGTTGGCCCAACCATCTGTGCTACATGGGCAACGAGCCACCACGTCAACCCGCCACCTCAAACTTCTTCTTCTTTTTGATGGCGGGTTGACTTGGTGGCGGGTTGACGTGGTGGCGCCTTGGCGCGTTCCCTTATAAAAGCTGGCTTGGTTACCATGTATGTTCAGTATTTAAAATGCCAGCTGATCACATTGTGTGTGAGAGAGAGAGATCAGAGATCATATTAAAAAATCCCCACATGGCCACAACAATATTCATTGATACAAATTTAAAAATGTAAACATTATAGTTCCAAGAGCAATGTCTTTTAACTTCCTCATATAGTTGTTGTCTAGCTATTTCATTTTTTCTCCTCTTACATTATTCCATTCAAAACTCTTTCTTTGTATAATCAATATACCGCTTTATTTTTAACTCAAATTGTGTGTGTGAAAATCTAAAACTCTAAAACTGTTATTTTGAAGATTAGTTCATCAGAAGAAACATAAGTTACTTAATTGTAGGCCTACATCCTCTAGACCTTCCAGAACTTCATGACTAAATTCTAAACTAAACCAAAAGTCCATCATTTATTTTATTTTCTGTTGTTTTGCAAAATTAAATAAATAACCCTATATAACAGTCCACTTTTATTATTGTAAAAAAAAACCTTGCTATTTGGTCCGTTCGCGTCGGATTGTTGATTAACCAATTGATTGAACTAATTATTTGGACTTTTGGTGAAGATTAAAGACGGAACCTAATAAACTCTCAATTAGTCTCAATATTGTCGTTCTCGTTCACGCGTATTGCATACTCGAATTGGTAACATTTTGAAAGACGCTCTTATTACAAAAACTCATGATCGTATATCTTTTGGATATGTGCTCTATATGGTCATGGAAGTTGAGCTGCCTATCTAAAGCCGGGTTTTCCTAGGCGCGAAGTCGGCGAGCGGAGAGAGGAACGCGGAGAGCGGACTCCACTTGTCTTAGGCAATTTAATGTTACTGTTTTCCTAGAAGCGGAGCGGAATGCCATGTTAATTTCAATTCCGCTCTCCGCGTTCCTCTCTCCGCACGCCGACTCCGCACCTAGGAAAACCCAGCTTAAGATCAAACCAAGAAACGTAATGGGTAGTACCGTAAGAAGATATGTCTTCTTCCCCTGGTAAAACAGTTAACGGATCTTACTTTTTTAAACTGTTATGGAATTGGAGCATCTTCGTTTTGTTATAGTTTAAAAAAGTTTATTGCTTTGAAACCATTGCAAAGACCTGTTGGAACTCACAAACACTAAACGTCTCTAGGTGATCCACGTCCCTAGCTGGAACACAAAGCAAGGTGTCGTTGGTATACAAACAAACATCAGATCTACATTTGGGTTTGATACAAATAGGGCGGATCGTTAATGAAGAGTAAAAGAGTGAACATTTAAAAACGTACGAATTCAGGAAAAGCAATTAAATTATTTTTTGTTCCATTTTTTGAAACTGTTTTTATTTTTTTTATTTTATTAACATTTGAAGTTTCATATAATGTCCATGGTAACGCAATATCTTTGGTGATTTTTTATTAACAGAGAGCATCTTTGATGGAAAAACACGAAATTTTGTCACGACCATCACGGACATAAATAAAACTGAATATGAAAAATAGTTAATATTATTTTTATAACTATGTTTTGCTATAAACTAGTTTACTTTCAAGGGCCATTATACAATAAACAGCTCACCAAGCTTGTGGTATATTTGGTCTTTCAAGAAAAATAAAAAAAACTCAAAAAATTGAAAAAAGCCAATAAAATCTTTTAAAGTTTGTATAACTCCCAAAATAACTTTTCTGAGACCCGAAAAATCGTTATTTTTATAGAGGTGTGCTTCTTTTGTGTATAACACGCTGAAATATGATATTTTAATTTTTGAAATTTATATTATAGAAATAATAAACGTGATGGTCAGGGACAAGCGGTGCGGTCGTGAATTGCCTGGAATATTCCAAATCTTTCTAAACCATCATTCAATTATACTGTTAGTTATAATAAAAATATGTGTTTCAATTTAACTAAACTGTTCAATTTACAATGATATTTAAGTTATTGTCACGACCAAACACAGTATAATCCATAAGGCTGGATTGGTCGTGAAAAAACCCGCGATGGTCGTGACATTACGTGTTATTTGGCTCTGTTCTGGCGGTAGCCCTGCACCTCATGTTCGAGGATACAAAGTGGACTTCTAGGTTAATCTAGCAATTGAAATATCTTATAAACAAAAATTAACACCATGTCTACTTCATAAAATTACTACTTACGGTCATGGACACACCATAATTACAAAAAATACAAACTTGCCTTTATTAATCTTGTAATTCCTCCTTTCAACTCGAAACGACCGGCACTACAATCCTAACGTACACCCCGAACTAGTCTCTAAAACCAACTGACTCCATCAACGCCAGGCTTGCCACTGTCGTGCTCCAAAGTTGTAAAATTTTCCCTAATGGTCGTGACGTCAAATCGAGGGACAGACCTATTTAGTCATGGTAGTCAGTTTACAATGAAAACAAAATCATTATATGCTCCTTTTTCGTAAGTTTAATAACTATTGATGGAATAAAAATACAACATTATATATTTCGGCATGAATAATTATTCTAAAAACGGCATGAAAGTTGCAAAATGTTGTAATATGTACCCCCTAGGGTACATATGATATTTTATATTTATATTTTTTGTAACGTGACAGTCGTGAGTTTCGAGACTTTAAAAATACGAAAAAAAATACCTAGAACTTATTCAAAGCCAAATAATTGTGTGTAACATGTTGCCCCCGTCCCAAAAAATATTAAAACACATTATGATATACTACATATTCAGTATCTACGAAGTAAAAGGCCAGGGACATAAAAACGTACGTTTAAAAATTTTCACTTAAAAACATGATTAGACCAAGGATAGAACCCTGAGGAACTCCCCGAAGTATAATAGATGAAGCAGGAGGTAGCATGAGTCATGACTACAAGTTCCTTAGTGGTCAACGAACAGCATGGCCAAAAATAACGTCACTGTGTCCTTAAAAACAGCGGGTCGATCGAAAGACTGCCCCCCGGACAACTACCCCCCTACCCACGTCATGTTGACGTCAGTGATCGGGGGGGGGGGGGGGGCAGCTTTCCAGTCATGGACACTCAAGTTTCGTTGTCATATACTCTTCTAAGCTAACCTAACCAACCAAACTTGCTGTTACATTTCAAAATTCTGTATGATATACCCCACATGCCTTTTTATCAAACGGAATTACTCGAATTAAAATTACAATTACATAGCATCACATTTTGCTAGGGGGTAGTATTCCAGTCGCGGACACGGCTGCCATATTGGTTAGTTGGCAGATTTTGTGAAGTCACGTTTCACCTGGGGGGTGGTTTTTCCGAGGGATAGTATTCCGCATCCCCAAAACGGCTAACAAACTTGGAGCTTTACTAAAAGATCGGCCTCAAACGATCACTCAGATTTTTTTTTATATAGAATTAAAACAAAAAAATATAAATTGAAAATATATTTCTGTACATTTAAAATGGAGTCAATATTTTCATAGCGCAGTAACCAAGCTTTCGAATTCTAAAAAAATACACAAATAATACCACAAGCTGCATCCAAACAAATCAGCTGTAACGACACTACTTTTAACATTAATTGCCTCTTCGTGGCCGCGGCCTGGAGTTAAAGGTGGCCGTGATCAAGTACTTACCCTGAATTATCTAACTAAATTTAATACACACTCAGGTGTAAGTCACTGTCTTTCAGGGTTGATTAATATGAATGTGTGTTTACTGTTTTTCATCCTGCATTCACTGCAGACATTTTTAGTGTCGATTACAGAGTCAAATTCATTGAAATCTAACTTGTATCAAAGTTCTCAGATCAGCAACATTTTACAATAGGTTTAGGTTACCGGTTTATGGATGATTGGGTGTATAATGCCTCAAGAATGAATAGACCACATTATGCTAGGCATGTCTGTCGTGTAAAGTCTATAGATCACACTTAAAGAGACTGAGTTTGCTTTGGACAGTCTGCCGAAAGTCTGTCAACAGAGTTTCGGATTCAAGTTTCTAATTTGCTTTGTCACCGAACATTATGGGTAACAGTTTTTTTTAAGTCAAAACTTAGGTTTCATTTTTTTAGCTGATTGTTCCGTACTATTAATAAAGGAAAATAATACAATACATTTTTGTTGTTACAAACTACTTTATAATGTATATTTGTATTGTTGTATACAACTGTTCACAACTGCGTGAGCAGATTTGGAGAAGTAATTATTTCATGTTATATCTTTTTACAATAGAACAAAGGCTTTGTAATATTTTTAATCTATCTTAAAGATATCTATGTATTTTATTATTAAAACATGTTCACTTATCGTATGTAGTTATATCAAATGCACTTCTAATATTCAATTCAATCTTGTAAAGCTTAAAGCAACCATAACATGTACAATTCAAATCCCCATCCCATTCATATGACCCAACTTGACTCTTTCATGTATAGCAGCAACCAAAGATATTTGTTGTTCTCTTTGTCTACCATGCATAGCTGTTGACCTTTTATAATCGTCAATGTCAACAGTCTCCAGACAGTCTAAGGTCGGTTCTTTCTGTCACCAGGGGCCAACTTAAGAGCTTTCCAATCTCTATAATCACTTAGTCAATAAAATTACATCTTTTAACAAAAGCGAAAGCTGTGCCAAGTATGGGAAGTAATCAATCTCAACTTCAGTAAATTGCAGTTCTTGCCATAAGCCTCTTTACCACAATACATGAACATAGACAGAATATCTTATGTTTTTCCCAAACTATTTTTTTATTTCAAAATAAGTTTTGTCTTACAACAATGAAAATACTCTTAAACAATCTCTGAATAAATAATATAAAAGAAATTAACAAAATGCCACACACATTTCCCTAAGTTATCACACAATAGTTAGTTATCACAAAGCAAATCACACTAAATTTTTAAAAATTTTTCAATACACACAACGAATTTCAAAGACAAGCGAGAATGTTGCATGAACAACAAAATCATCTGATGGAAAAGCGTTTTAAAAAGAGACATAAGTGTTAGGTGAATAACATTTCTATATTTGCTCTATTGATCCTCAGGTAAGATAGCTGTGTGTCCTGGCCCTTCTTAATGACGTTTTAGAACTAGGTGTGTACACTACTTTTGCATTATTACAAACACAAAGGCAAGTGAGCAAAGATCATCCGATGTAATTATTTTTTAGCCCCTGGTCTCCTATGAAAATATGCACTTCTCTACTTTCTGCGCTTGCAACGCTAACAGTGTGTATATTGTCAATGAAATGGACCTCAGGGAAAATAAAAAAGCCTAATTTGAAACAAAAGGAGTCCAGGAGCTATACAATGGCTATTTACAAGGCTATTCAAATTATGTTTGGGAATCAGAGACTTAAATTCATTTACAGACAACATTAAATATACATAAAAGTAAAAACAACAATAATAACTTTTTGAAAAGTTACAAATAATTCATCAACAAAAACCTATGTAAAAAATAAAACATGTAAGTTTTTGTACTATATTCATTTTAGTTAAAAACAGTAGGATCTGCTAAAGTTTCATAAATCTAGGTGCTGGTGGAGCCGAAAACGCCCTTGCTTCTCGGAAAGGCCTTTCAGTGTACTGAGCACGGTACTCGGTGGACCAGACACTGTGGCTGGCCGGCTCTCAGCTGTGCCGCCAAGTGATGGGGGGGCGAGGAGCGGGGGGAGCAGAGGCTGGGCGGGGCTGTCTACTCCTGGCACTGAACTGCTCCTGGTACTCACTCATCCATAAGCTGCTGCTGTTTGAACAAACCTGTGGCAACAAATGTTTCAAGTTCAACAGGTTTTTAGGTTAAAGTTTTTTTTGTGAGTAGACTCTCGTTCATCCGTACTAATGTGGCGGACGTCCAGTCCAGATTATGAAAAATCCGTACTATCGAGAGTCGAGCAAATACACAGTACTGTATATAGACATTTTTTCAATTTTGTTCCAGGTCCACAGTAATGATAGCCGGGCATATGCACTTCCACCGGTAGTAGTTTTTACAGCCGGGTTCGGTAGTAGTTTTTACAGCCGGGTTATCCGATTTTGTTGATTATTTGATGTAGTCTCGGTCCCACTTACCGGGCTTATCGGGATAATCGGGCTTCTACTGTACTGTGCCACCAAAAAAATCACGATTGCCGATCCGGAAAAACCGGGAGTCCAGACAAGGCCGATCCGGATGAGCGAGAGTCTACTGTAGTACTATGAAAACTATGGTATCCTGCAACAACCTACATGTACAAACTAATTAAAATTACAGGCCCTTTATGTATGTCATTAAAAATTGAAATTCTAGTATATATTTTTGTCTATCCCAGTTTCAAAAACTTAAATTATATTAGATTACCTTTGTTATTGTAGGCTGTAGTCCTTGAGTAGGTAAGATAGTTGTATCACCTATGCATTTCGCCAGCTTGCGTGGCATCTTCAGGATTCTATTTCAGTTATCTTCTTATCACTAACACTATAGTCTATACTGTATTAATAAAATATTTACACACTTGTGGTCACCAGTATGACCACTATACAGTATACACCACTATACACTCGTGGTCAGGTCAATTGGACAACACAAGGACCGGCATGCGGCAGAGTCACGACGGGAGGTCTTTCTTCATCAGTTTCATTTCTTGGACCAGAGGTGATGGCATTGGGGCTGTTTGACGGTTGAGGGTAGTTTGGAATTGCCTGGTTTATGGTCGTGCGGTTGCTTTGATCTCTCTAGTTCTGCCAGTTTGCCACTGTGTTTCTAGTTTTGTTAGTTTTGATTTTAATGTTGTATATTAATTTGAAAATTGTAGAGCTGGTGTAGTCTTCTTACCTACTCATGAACTACAGGTTACAACAACAAAGGTGATCTAAAATTCTAGGATAAACAAATGCCCAATGAAACTATGCATCTATCGCGTATAAAGTAGCTACAATAAAAATATAATACCCGCTCTCTCGGTGTTCTTGAATGATGTTTCACTGCTCTTTCTTGTACCAGAAATTCATTCACCTCAGCTTTTCGTCTCTGTGATGCGTGTAATGCTGAATCATGTACCTAAAAACATCAAAATTGCTGTTATCTTATAAATAATTTGCATTGCTGTTTTTACGTGGAGTAACTGACATAGAAAAATTTAGGCCAACTATTCTTGCAAGAATTTAAAGAACAAAGACAAAGTTTTTACTGTTAAATGATTAACGATTTATAAAATGAGATGACTTCAATTAATTACAAAAAAGATTAGGCCTATAATAATTTTATTTTTATTTTTTACCATCCAGTAATCCATGATGGCTCAAATATCAACTTATAATAGTAAAATAAAAAAATAATACATAATAAAGACTACTTATTCATTACCTCTAACTTGTCATATTGATTTTACCTCCGATTACAGTTTTACTACTTACAATTGAACTGCAGTAGTGCACCATAAAAAATATCTTAAATGGAAGCAAATTTATACAACAATATATATACTAACTGCTGTACCCGTGCTTCGCAACGGGAAAAAATCAGTTTCATAATCATTGAAATAGATTTAGAATAAATAACCTATCATAAAAAGATTAAATAAACCTACCACATAGTTGTGTAAAACATTTTATTTATTTTTTTGTTTCAGCTGTCTGAAATTGTGAAATAGACATTTGACAGTTCTGGTTGTTTACATTTAAATGTCACAGCAAATGTAAACATTGTGAATTTTCTCATGCTTCCATGGAGACCAATTATTAATATTTAATTTCTGACAACAGCTGGAGTTTCATAACAATGTTTGTTTCCCATGTTAATCTTAAGGAGAAATACAAAATTTTAAAGGGCCTCAGGGCCTCACTCTCTAATTATTTCTCTAAAAAGAAAGTTTCCTGCACAACTTCACATTACGCTCTTTCCAATGACACCAAAAACATCTCAATCGGTTCAGTAGTTTCGGAGGAGTAATTGTCACAAAAAACCTGCTTGCGTATTAAATAAGTAATATAGAAGTAAATATTTCATTTCAACCAAGTCAGTATATGTTTGTAGCAAACTGTTAAATTAGCAAACCTATTGACTGTTTACAATTAACATATGTTCTTCTTCTCACTTTTAATTTCTGACAACAGCTGGAGTTTCATAACAATTTTTGTTTCCCATGTTAATCTTATGGAGAAAGACGAAACTTAAAGGGCCCCAGGGCCTCAGTCTCTAATTATTTCCCTAAAAAGAAAGTTTCCTGCACAACTTCACGTTACTCTCTTTCCAATGACACAAAAAACATGTCAATCGGTTCAGTAGTTTCGGAGGAGTAATTGTCACAAAAAACCTGCTTGCGTATTAAATAAGTATAGATTTGAGCAATTGCTAAGTATAACAGGCGTCATTTTAAAACAAATAACAGTCATAATTTCTGATGACTTAAAGATTCAACTCAAAGATTATGAAAATACTCAAAATGTACATAACAGATCGATATAATCAAAATTTCTGGGTTTTTAGTGTTTCCTACAATTAGCCTTACTTATAGCCGCATTAGGTTGTCCATAACAAGGATTATAAATTCGAAAAAAACATTTTTTCTATTTCTTCTACTTGGTAGTGTTCTATGAGTTTCCTGTGTTTCCATAGTTTGCAAATCGGCTCTTTCAATGATAACTAAGAAATGCAGCACAATGTTAATTCAGTTTTCTTTTTAGTATATCAATTTATCCAGGCTCTCTCGTTTTTTTCCATTGTAATATTTACGCCAACCAAAATTGAAATGGTAAATATTTCATTTCAACCAAGTCAGTAAATGTTTGTTGCAAACTGTTAAATTAGCAAACTTATTGACTGTTTACAATTAACATATGTTCTTCTTCTCACTTTTAATTTCTGACAACAGCTGGAGTTTCATAACAAGTTTTGTTTCTCATGTTAATCTTATGGAGAAATACAAAACTTTAAAGGGCCTAAGGGCCTCACTCTAATTATTTCCCTAAAAAGAAAGTTTCCTGCACAACTTTACGTTACGCTCTTTCCATTGACACCAAAAACATATCAATCGGTTCAGTAGTTTTGTTGGAGTAATTGTCACAAAAAACCTGCTTGCGTATTAAATAAGTATAGATATAGATATATATATATATTCCTAACCCTAATTTTGTATTAATTTTTATAAAGACATTTTAAACGCTAATAAAAGGTAATACATTTAATACCTCTTTTTTAGGTGCACACACATTATATGTTAGTTTTTGTCCCACTTTCTGCGTCTTCTCGTTCCATCCGTAGGGCACAAAATGAGCCTGCTTGGGCTCCGTGGCCAGGTTCTTTGTTGTGCGGGAAGGTCGAGACAAGGACCGAGCTGTCCTAGCTACTGAGGTGGGGGTTGCTGGATGTCTTCTTCGTCCCTTTCCCTCCGGCAACCCTAGACCTGCGACACCCTCCTCATGTGCTTGGTCCCCACTACCAAAAATCATTTAAAAAATGTATAACCATACAGAAGGTTAAAATTGTATAAATTTCATCAGTTAAGTGACTCTTTTCGAACCGAGCTTAAGTTTCACCATTACGTTTATTATATGTTGAAAAATGAGCGAGGGTTGTAATGACACTTTTTGCCCATGTGGTTGAATCTATTTCTTGTCATATTGCAACAATATCTAAGCAAACTAAGTTGTAAACTAAAAAACTTGTCATGTATAATGTTGGTGAAATAGCAGAGTTGAGCTGCAGCGGTTAATTACCCTGATTATATAAAGATACACAGTTAACATAAACAAATTTAATTGGGAATAAGATAGAATGCAACAACAACTGAATGTAAACAGGTCAACTATAAACAAACTCATAACAATATAGAAATATAACATTAACCATATGTTATAGACAAATTAGGCAGGCAATGTGAGTTAGACATTACAACATCCTCTCAACTTGCATATTCCTTGCTTCTTGATACACTAGATAACATGTTGCTCTAAATAGAGCAAAACTGCAACTTGTAATAACAGAATAAAGAAGGAAAATAAAAGTTATCAATATATCTTTAATACTTCAATAATTTTCATTGAAATGGTGACCATAAAAAGTAGTTAGCGTCACCATATTATGTTTCCTGAATTACTGACCTACTTCCAATTATTCGATCTGGTAACTCAATAATATGTGGACCAAGATCATTGTGAATAGGACATCACCAAGTTTCTGGGGGAAATTACAAAGCACACTTCAACTTGTAAAGCATGCATGTTTGTTGTTCATTTGAATTTCTTTTGCTTGACCACTGCGTCTAAATGAGCTTCGGAGCTGACCATGACAAAGGTGGAATTTAATTGACGAATTTTATCTAAATAATTTCCGGATCTATGTCTTGTAGTCCTGTTTTTAGATTGGGAGTTTCCAATAAGTTCCTGAAAGTATGGTGAATTGCACAAATGAGGTAAATGAACCTTTCCTTTATGGCAACAAAGAGTAAAAAATGAAACTATCTCAGCCAATATTTTCTAGCTTAAAATGTAAGGCATCGCCATGTTAACATTACACTTTCTTTTGTTCGAGGTTAGATGTAGCACCACAGCGGTCTAGTACTGCCGCTCTGTATCCGTCAAATGTTACATTGGAAGGGTGTTGCAAGCGGTCACGTTCGCGTTCCCTCCGGTCAAAAGCAGTTCTTGGTCTTAAGTGGCATTTAATTTTGAATTTAATAAAACACGAAAGAGTTAACCAAACAACAGAAAAAAACACCACAAAGAAATAATGATACACATTGTAAATTACATGATAAATTGGTAAAGTAATGGGTAAATGAATGCATTGTGCACTTTTAAACATTCACTTCATTATACCGAACTGTTACCATGTGATAATTCAGTAAAATACGATCTAGAAGGTAAATCAATTTAACTATTGCCAACAATTTGTTGTCAAGTTTTGCTAGGAAATAGTTACAGTATTAATGAAACAGACTTCATAAACAGATACTAAAACACAATATAAATAATTCCGACTTTACTCTGGAAGTAATAAGTCCTGCAGTCTGTGATTAACCTTAAGAACTATTTCAAACCATGTCCAGATGTTTAGTTGTAAACAAAGTAAATTAAGTTTGATCCAATGACGACGGATAGCGCCATTGTTCCGAAACTTTAGCCCTTAACTGTACTTAAGTGATGCCCTTTCTTAACATTCTGAGACGTATTTGCACATCTTGGTAAGAAGACCTTTAATATGACACATCAAACATTAAATTCCGTCCAGCCGTTATCGAGTTATGACTGTGAAAACTGAAAAGAAAACTGCTTGCGTATTAATAAATAGATTTCATGAGCTTGTCTTTGTCTTGTGTTATCGTCAGAAAATTTTCACTTGTTTTCTTTGAACTTTTTCTTAAGAGCTTCTTTCCTTTTTAACATTTTAATGCTTGTTGAACAAGAAAATCTTCTTGTTTTTCCTATCCCGGGTTATTCTTAATCCCAGAATGAATTTTGCTGTCCCCATATCTTTTATTTTTAATTCTTTTATTAGTCGTGTCTTAAGGTTTTCTTTGAGATGTTTATTATTGTGAAAAACTACTAAATTGTCTTCCCAGGCTGTAATGATTAACATCCTCCCATTTTTCACCATGTGATAAACGCAGGAATCAAAGATTGACTGAGTCATTCCTACTCTAATCAAACATGAGTGTAGTTTCCGTTTCCACTTACGAGAGGCTTTTTCATGTTTAGGTTTATTCATGAATATTTCTTCTGTGGGTTTTTCTTGAGGAAATGCACAGACAGCATCTATTTGGTCTATTTCAAGGTCCTTTTCAGCAGCTAATGCTAATAAATAGTGTACAGAGCTGTAACGGTTGAGTTGAGGTTTAGCACACTCATCATCACTTGCAGCATAAAAAGTTACATAATCCTCAAGAGATTTTGGAGGTTGACGGACTCTTTGAGGTCGATCATTGGATACTGGCAACGGATGATTTTCTTCAAATTCAGAACTTTCATCGACTTCAAAATCATAATCTGCTGAGTCATATTCAGATTCTTCGGGTGCTGCTACAGGAAAATCTTCTATACTGTTAAACATGTTCCCGTCTCTTGTTCCCGTTCATTTGTTCATGTTCATTTTTCAGCAAAATACTACCTTTTTATGTTCAGAAAATGTCACGTCTCTTGAAATAGTTGAAATTAGTACCGTTTTTGTCCTCGGATTGTAGAGACGTTAGCCTTTTGTTGTAGAGCAATATCCTACTAAAATACACGGTGTCGATCTTGCATCCAGTTTCTTACGATTTCGTGCTGGAACATGTGCATAAGCTTTGCAACCAAATGTCTTCACCTGAGAGAGGGTTGGTTTTAGGCCTGACCACAATTCTTCAGGAGTCGAAGAAATTGTCCTACTCGGTAAGCGATTTAACAGGTAAGTGACAGTGTTAACTGCTTCAGCCCAAAAACATTTAGGCAGCTCAGAATCAAGCAATAAACATTGGGCACGGTCCATTAGTGTGCAGTTCAATCGCTCAGCTTTACCATTTTGTTATAGTGTATAACTGCAGCTAGTCTGATGCACAATACCTGTTTTTCTCATAGAACTCAGAAAACTTCTTGCTATATAATACTCGCCAGTCGCCACCTCCATCTGTTCTCAGAGTTTTGATTTTCTTCCCAATTTGATTTTCTACCAGATGTTTAAAAGATTTGAATGTTTCTAAAACTTGATCCTTTGTCTTCAAGAAATAAACAAACGTTTTATGGCTAAAATCATCTAGGAAAGTAAGAACATACTTAGAACCAGCAAGAGAATTTACTTCCATCGGTCCAACCAAGTCAGAGTGTACCAATTCTAGCAGTTCACTTCTTTTACTGCTACTTGGTTGGAAAGGTAGTCGGTGGCTTTTTTCAAATACACATGATTCACAAGGAATGTCAGGCTTTTTATCAGAAAGATTGATTCCATGCACCAAGCCATTTGACAATTTTGTCAGATCATCATAATTCAGGTGAGCCATACGTTTATGCCAGATAATTTGATCATTGCATTTTGCAGTCATGGCTGTGCCTGAAGGGGGTTGAACAACTATCTTAAACAAGTTGTTGACCTTAGAAGCTGTGGCAATTACTTCATTGTCACTATTGAAAATCTGAGCTCCTTCGTTGTCAAAAATCACAGTGTTCCCTTTACTCACAATTTGACTGACAGACAGTACATTTACATTCAACTGAGGAACATAATATACATTTTGAACTTTAACATCTGATGAAGTACCTGAAATATTTACAAAAAGGTTTGTATCTCCAATTGTGTCACTTACCATCCTGTGCCATACGGTGGTAATACTCAACTGTGGAGATTTCCTTTTATTTTCACATCACACTGTCAACACATAAATGAGCACTAGCTCCTGAATCTATAGTTTGTCTAAAATAATTGTGCGGTTGGAATTCAACATATGATTTCCCTATCATGGTAAATCTCCCACTCATTTACCCTTTTCTACACTGAAATCCCCATACCAATCATCTGTTTTATATTGCAGACAGGTTTTTAAGGAAGCATTTTGTTTATTATAGTTGAATTAAGTCGCTGCACAGAGAAGTAGAATATAGCGGAAACATTCAATGAACTACTACACACATAATAAAACTATAAGATACATTTCAACAATAAATAATCTACGTATCAATTTTAATTTCATTTTAAGTTTTGTTATAATGTAATATAGCCTACATAATCCTGGACTAACATTTTTTATGCTTTTGATGGATTGTTTTAAATACAATTTCAGTTCTGGTAATGTAACTATATGTTATAAAATTAGTTAATATCGTAGTGAACTGGTTTCAAAATTCTAAAGTGATTCTTCACTTCTTTATTTAGTTATTATTTTAATACCGTCGGTAATAGGAACTTTGTCAACGTTTCTAGCGGAGCCCTAAGGTCAGATCAGGATGAAAACCATTGGGTTATCCTGTTTATGCCTGAATAATCAGTATACAACATTACACTCGCTAGGTAAATGACAAGTAGGAGCATTTAATTTTCTTTTACTGAGGATAAACTAACCTAGCAAAATGATCATACTATTTGAATGAACGAGTTATGTTTGAAGATACACACAAATTAAACCATTTGTATGTAACAGCTATATTAAAGTTTTTGCATTTTACATTGTTTACTAATTGTATAAATATTTAAAATCCTTAATAATAAAAGGCCAATATGCCTTAGTACACACCAAATAGAAAACAAAACTCGTAAAAACATAATAATTTAATTTAGTTTTTAAAACATATACCACAAAATGAACACAATGATGTAAATTTAACAAATGTTGGTTGTAATGTGGACGTTAAAAAAGTACTGGAGACGTTCCATTACATCATTCACTCTCATAACTGGAAAGTAGATATTTACTATCATCTTCGCTTAAGCCATCAGAGTCAGTGTCATCCTGCAGATTTATAATAAATGTTTTTTTTTTTATAATTGTACACTCTAAAAATTGTGTTTTTAGTTTGAATTGTAATGTCTTGGCGCCTTTTGGCCATTTCTAATTAACACTAATCAATTAAACACAAACTGAATAATATTAAACTGCACAAAATACCATCAGAATAATCCCAATATTGTTTACTACTAAAATGTAAACAAAGTGACAACTGTTGTAAAATTTTAAACAGTACGAATCAGCTGTAGGCTAATATGTTATTGAGCGGAGCGAGCGAAGCTCTTATACGTCGACTTTTATGCATTTCGTAATACGCAAACTCCTCCTAGACGGCTGAATCAATCGTTTTCAAATTTTGGATGGTGATAAAGACCATATCAGTGAGTGCCAACATCTATATGGCGTTAAAAATAACTCTCAGGAATCCGCCCCACTGGGTCTCAAAGTTTCAATGTAATCCTTACGGAAGCAGTATTTGACACATAAACAAAAACATATGGTCAGCTGTTGACTTTTGTCACTTTTGAATGCAGTAGATAAATAAATAGCTGATAGTATTATTCCACAGATATTAGAACATAAACGGTGGTATGGATAATAAAATAATCAAATGACGACACTAGCTTGAGGTCCGTGACGTAGGAAGTGTTAAAGGAAGTACTAAAAGTGAACAGTCTGGAGTGTGGAAACTGTTTATGACGATTAGATTTAGGTATCTGCACTCCTAAAATTCTATGGGAAGGGAGGAAAACGGATCCGCGACGTAGAAAGTGGTGAAGGAAGTACTAAAGATGAGCAGTCTGGAGTGTGCAAACTGTTTATGACGATTATATTTAGGTATCTGCATTCCAAAAATTATAAGGGAAGGGAGGAAAACGGGTCCGCGACGTAGGAAGTGATGAAGGAAGTAGTCAGGGCTAGCTGTCCAGAGTGTGGGAACTGCTTATGACCATTATATTAAGGTATCTGCAATCATAATATGCTATGGGAGGGAGAGAAAAAGGTCCGTGGTGTAGGAAGTGGCGAAGGAAGTAGTAAGGCAAGCTGTCCGGAGTGTGGGAACTGCTTATGACCATTATATTAAGCTATTTGCAATCATACGATGCTATGGGAAGAGAGGGAAAAATGTCCACGATGTAGGAAGTGGTGAAGGAGGTAGTCAAGGCAAGCTGTCCGGAGTGTGGGAACTGTTTATGACGATTAGATTAAGGTATATGCAATCCTATGATGCTATGGGAAGGGAGGGAAACAGGTCCGTGGCGTAGAAAGTGGCGAAGGAAGTAGTCAAGGCAAGCTGTCCGGAGTGTTGGAACTGTTTATGACGATTAGTTTGAGGTATCTGCAATCATAAAATGCTATGGGAAGGGAGGGAAAAAGTTCCGTGGCGTAGGAAGTGGCGAAGGAAGTAGTAAAGGCGAGCAGTCCGGAGTGTTGGAACTGTTTATGACAATTAGATTGCGGTATCTGCAATCATAAAATGCTATGGGAAGGGAGGAAAACGGGTCCACGACGTAGGAAGTGATGAAGGAAGTAGTCAAGGCAAGCTTTCCGGAGTGTGGGAACTGCTTATGACCATTATATTAAGGTATTTGCAATCCTATGATGCTATGGGAAGGGAGGGAAACATGTCCGTCACGTAGAAAGTGGTGAAGGTAGTAGTCAAGGCGAGCTTTCCGGAGTGTGGGAACTGTTTATGACGATTAGATTAAGGTATCTGCAATCATAAAATGCTATGGATAGGGTGGGAAAAAGGACCTTGGCGTAGGAAGTGGCAAAGGAAGTAGTAAAGGCGAGCAGTCCGGAGTGTGGGAACTGTTTATGACGATTACATTAAGGTATCTGCAATCATAAAATGCTGTGGAAAGGGAGGAAAACAGGCCCACGATGTAGGAAGTGGTGAGGAGGTAGTCAAGGCAAGCTGTCTGGAGTGTGGGAACTGTTTATGACGATTAGATTAAGGTATATGCAATCCTATGATGCTATGGGAAGGGAGGGAAACAGGTCCGTGGCGTAGAAAGTGGCGAAGGAAGTAGTAAAGGTGAGCAGTCCGGAGTGTTGGAACGGTTTATGACGATTACATTAAGGTATCTGCAATCCTATGATGCTATGGGAAGGGAGGGAAACAGGTCCGTCACGTAGGAAGTGGTGAAGGAAGTAGTATAGGCGAGCAGTCCGGAGTGTGGGAACTGTTTATGACGATTAGATGAAGATATCTGCAATCATAAAATGCTATGGGAAGGGAGGATAACGGGTCCGAAACGTAGGAAATGATGAAGGAAGTAGTCAAGGCAAGCTGTCCGGAGTATAGGAACTGTTTATGACAATTTGATTAAGGTATCTGCAATCATAAAATGCTATGGGAAGGAAGAGAAAAGGTCCGAGACGTATGAAGTGGTGAAGGAATTAGTAAGGTGAGCAGTGTGTAGTGTGGGAACTGGAAACCGTTTGTAGCAGTTAAATTAATGTATCTGCAATGCTGAAATGCTATGAGAAGGGATGGAAGCATCCCCACGACATAGAAAATGGTGAAAGAAGTAGTAAAGGCTAGCAGTGCGGAGTGTGGGGAATGTTAGTGGCAATTAGATTAACGTATCTAAAATACTAAATTGCTATGGAAAGTGATGAAAACAGGTCCACGATGTAGAAAAAGGCTTAGAAAGTGGTAAAGTATGAGCATAGTGTGAAAACCGTCTGTGGCAGTTAGATTGATGTATCTTTAATCCAAAAATGCTATGAGAAGGGAAGGAAACAAGTCTATGACGTAGGAAATGGTGAAGGAAGTGGTAAGGCTTGCAGTGCAGAGTGTGGGAACTGTTTTTGGCAGTTACATTATTATATCCGCAATCCTAAAATGTTATGGGAAGAGAGGGAAATAGGTCCACGAAGTAGGGGTTGGTGAAGGAAGTAGTAAAGGTGAGCGAGTTGAGTGTGGGAATGGATTAATGTATCTGCAAAGCTAAAACGCAATGGGAAGAGACTGTAGACTGTAGGTTAAAATAATTTTGAAGCACGAATCGATACATATTTTGATACATGCAATCGTTTATAATAGAAATTTACAACTGAGTTGACAACAGCTGATTTTTACTCCATAGAGGATAAAAATTATTTTTACTCCATAGAGGATAAAAACTTTTTTTACTTCCTAAAGAGTAAAATTGCTACTTTAGACCCTCAACGCATGCATTAAAAACGACTGGTATTACTGCAGTATGACCAAAACAATATAATATAAACCCTTGATGACTCCGCTCAATTTTGTGGATGCCTCTGCGAACGCCACCTAGTACTTTCAACTGTCTCTTTCATTTCTGATGCTGATGTTGCTAGATTTGTTACAGTTTCTTGATATGTGACCATAACCGTTGCATTGGAAACATCAAGGACCCTTGAAACCTCTGCTATCTTGCTGTAGTAACATCGTCGTTACACGCCATCACTACGCTTACGATCATCGATAATTCGTTTATCGAAGGATATCTTACAATAGTTAGTCCCATTTCCACGATTTATGTTTAATTTTCATTCAATACACGTATTCTCGTTCTACGACTATTTTCGTTTAAGAATTCAATTTTAAATCTCTAAATTTAATAACTTAAATTTCACCCACTTGAGTCTAGACCTGCTAGTTCCTGCCTGCCAGTGACTAGCGGTGGCTATCGTTCAGTTTTAAGTTAACAAATTAGAGTTGAAATCACGACTACTCCGTTCGCTGAACCAATAATTATTGCTTTAATTTATTTTAGTTAATTTGTCGTTTTAATGCCCCAAAACTTGTCGATTGAGTTCTGAACCCTGTCATTGGCGGGTGATAGGATCAAGTCTTGGGAGTGTTCAGATTTGAACAATTAGCTACGAATATTAGTATTAAATTCATTGTAACCGTATCACGCTAAATTCTTCATTTACATAATTAAACTCTGTAGGCATTTTTTGTATTATATTTATTTTATATTATATACCAACGTCTTTCGCCAAATAACTTAAGAGTTTAACACAAGTTTAATCACATTGGCTGAGAGAGAATACTCGTCTGCCTTACAGAGTCTGTCTAAAAGTTAGGCAAAATTTTCCCAAAACACTCAAACAAAGGTGGGGACGATATAGCTCCAACTGAGCGTGAACAACTTCGTATCGACCCCTGGAGTTTCCTGGCTCCTTCTGAGCACTCCGGGGAACAAATTTGAGTGTGGCTGGTAGGCCTAGCCTGACTTTATGAATACTAGTTTATTCACCCCCTAGAATTTTACGTCACAACTTTCTCTGTATTATTTATTTAGTGGTCATCATCCGAATGTTCGGATCATTTTAGCTTGAGTTATCGTGCTAGCGGACATATATATAAATTTGAACGGATGGTGTTTTTGGTCTCTAGGGACTTCAAAACGAAAAAGTAAATCGGTCCCGGGTCCAGGTCTTACTATGAGTACTATGGTAATAGCTTATTCCCTATAGGAAATTCGCTAAAAGAAAAAATCATTGTGCATTGAGGTTAAAAACAACTTCACTAATAGTATAGACTTTGTAACGGATCTAGGTTTGTACCTTCTGTCAGGCTCGTCCCCTGTCCACTCTGGTGTCTGAACTGCCTCGTCTCTAGCATCCTTAGTCTCTGGTGCTCTACCTAGCTGATGATTATATTTTTCCCATAGCTCCTTGTGTTTTTGCCTGTAAAAAAGTAACTGGTTAATAACTAGTACACATGAAATTTTGTTTAATTACCTCCTTTGTCACCAAGACCAGCGATGCCAGATAGGTTGTGTCTATACTATATTACTGAGTCTGCAGAAAGGGATGTCTATTTCATTGTTACGCCTGGTTTGATGTGCATGTATGGTACTTCTTGTAGGGAAATTTAATAGGTTGGCTTTAACATTGACGGTACACAGATGGATGTATTGGTTATAGACTGTTAAGACCTTTGTTTTCATGAAAAGTGGCTTACAATGATCCAGTCTCTTACTAAAAGTAATTACACGAATTGTCCTCTTCTGGAGTACGAGGATATCCTCACAAGCCGGTGCATGTCCCCATAGCATTAGGCCATAGTTCAATACACTATGGAAGAGAGCTTGGTATATTACCAGCAAGTAGTGGTGTGGACTTATCATATGGGTGAGTTTATTCAACCCTGCACCTGGCAGGTGGCTACATTTTACCCTCCCCTAGCAAATCATTATTCACCAGTCAATTGAGCATCTATCTTTCAAACTGCTTGGATCTAACTTAAAACATCCGTGTACTAGGAATTGATCTATAACAGTTTATTAATGAGATTTCAGCGTTTAATTTGACAGGTTATAATACTGTGATGAATAGTTATGTCTAAAAAGTTTTCTAAATTGGGAAGTAGCCGTAGTTTGATGCAACTGCTTGTCTATTGAGGCACAAGAAAAAATTTAATTCTGGTTTTTGCAAGGTAAATATTTTGTTAGTGACAGGATCAAGCTGCATCCCTCCATAGTAGCATAGACAAATAGAATAAATAATATAGACCGTCAGCTGTGCTGCGGTTAGCATAAGTTCTGGCGTCCACCGCTAGGAGTGCTATGTAGTTACGGCGCACTCCGCTGCAGCTTCTGCTGGTCACATACGGCTCCTGCGCTCCTCGCCTGCAGCGGTGTGCGCCGGAACCTTCCTTTGACAGTCTATATTTACCATATTCTATTTGTCTATGATAGTAGTCCCTTCATTTCTCTACAAGAATAGGCTATATTTTGCTTGTTGGTGGTTGCTGGATCGATCCCAAGCGAGGTTGATTCTGAACCACGATTACTAGAAAAATACCGGTATGCATCATAAACATAAACAAATGACGTTGTTAGCCCGAATCCTATACTAATAGCATTGAACATATGTTTTGGCAGTTCCATTTAAGCAATGTCAAATAATGTTTATTTTCGGGCCAAAAACGTCATTTGTATATGTTTATGATCCATACCTGTATTTTTCTAGTAATCGTGTTCTGAACCTAGCTCTTAATTGTCTTTGGGACTATTGATTAAAGATGCTATCTAACAAAAGGTCAATTAGGTAGACCAAGGTTTGGAATGTTTCCTTATGAAAAAACTTAAACTTGGTGGCGTTCGCAGAGGCAACCACAAAATTGAGCGGAGTCATCAGGGTTCAAATAATATTACTATTGACCTTCTCCATCGAGCTTCATAATTATTTTTACCTACAGTTTTAAGTGAACCCAACATTTGTAGAGATAAATATTGGGGCAATTAGATTGGCTAGACATTGTTTTGTAGTGAAGGGGATTAAAAAACACAGATATGTAATTTTAGACATTTTTGGGGACCAGCATTTACATTTTATGTTTAAAACTTCTGTCATCAACTTTTTTCCAAACGGGGCGGTACAATTCCAACATAGAAAGCAAGCTAGCGATAACCTAGACATCATCCCTTTTCAGTTTCGGATTCTAAATAAAAATAGACCCGAAAAATATTTCTCTACCCTTTAGGCTGATAAGGAGGACTTCCTGTGATGGAGATTATAAAAATGAAAACACAAAATATATGGCACTCTCAGTTATGAGAACGTCATATAACTACTAAAACATAACTAACTAGCCAAAGATGAATATACTCAGTATAGGCAAAAATTAAAATTTTTTTTTTACAGTATCAAATTTAAAGATTGACTTGCAATTAATTTGACTTAAATGAATGCAAACATTTCAAAATAAAATATTGTTACGAAAGTTATATTAACATCCACATTCACATTGATTTCAGCGTTTACATGAGCAGCCCATGTTGTTCATGTTGTGCATGGGTTGCGTTGTGTGGGTCGCCGGAATTCTACCCCCGGATATTTACCCCCATGAAAAAACGCCTACGTCATTTTGACGTCACGAGGGGCGGGGCCTATACACGGTCGAGAAACAGCCCGCGACTGGAAATCTACCCCCGGACATCTACCCCCGGACATCTACCCCCAGACATCTACCCCCGGACATCTACCCCCGGAAATCTACCCCCGGACATCTACCCCCAGACATCTACCCCCGGACATCTACCCCCGGACATCTACCCCCGGACATCTACCCCCGGAAATCTACTCCCATGGTCAGATACGCTACGTATCGGCCAAGATGCATTGTTGTTTGATTTCATTAATTGGTTTATGTAAGTCGACGGCTCTTCGGTTATTCATTAGCTTATTATGCAAATTATTTTTTTTCTTGTAAAACAAAAACTCAAAAAATACTTAATTCTTCTTGGGCTATAATATACCCCAAGTCGTTGCCAACACAACAGTCAACGCAACAGGTGTGTCACCAAAATGATGATATCATCAAAAATATTTTAAAGTAAATAATAAGAAAGCATACTCATAATAGCATATTTAGATAATTTATTTTTGTAAAAAATACAACCAACTTCAAACGCTCTAAAAAGAATGAAATAATTTCAATAAAGTAAACTTTTGTATTAGGTAAGCTCACGTATTTTAAGACTCTATGATGATTTTTGATACAAAATTGAAAGAGGGTGTCCATATTGCAGGTGACTATCTATAACTAAAGGTGTTAATCTGCATGTCTTTTTCATAGTTATGCGTTAAGTGTTATTTTATTACCGTAATCGGAGATCGGCATTATAGTGGTATTAACGAGTATCTTTTAAAAGATTATAACGCATTTAAATGTTTCTAACTTGGAAAAGTAACGTTTTAATACTAAACTAGCTTCTTTTCCCTATCATAATATCAAACTAAAGTATTTTCCTATTCATATAGAACATTTGTGTGTGTTATTTTCATAATGCATTTATTCTGAAGTAAACATAAAATACAAGAAAATATTTCCGAAGCAGGCATAATAGTATTGATATGTTATAGTAACTGGGTAGAGAATATTAATAAACATTCCACATCTGCAAATGCATGTTTAGTAATTAAAATATTTAACACTTTTAAGACAATTGACGATTATGCACTGTCACACTTCATAGGTCGTGTAAGGAATAATTGCATTTGATTTATATTTAGACCTGTTTTACGAATGCTTTGGTTTTCACAATACACCTTTATTTGTGAATATCATACAGCTATTCACTGAAACATATATGTTTTTGTAAGTCGGAATATTCAATACTAAAAACAGAATTACTGTGTACACAAATCAGGCCAAACGTTAAAATACATTTTTTATAGTAACCAAAACAAAATGCATATTCTCTGGTGCATTTTCTCAATGTAATTCATTTAGGCTCCATGGCAAGAAATAGTTAATTGATCAATATGAAGCAACTGTTTCATGAAGAATTGTCTGTAGCTTCATTTAAATGGTTTCAACTAACAGCTGTAGGAATGTTATTATTATTTATTGCCTTCTCTGCACAAATGTAAACAATTTGCACAAATGTAAACAAAATGAATGTTGAATATTTAAGGTTATCAGAATTTTTCACCGAAACAAATATTATACTTAAACATAATACATAAGGTACCAAATAGAAACTCTCCTGGTTATTTTGGTGGTGGAACCACACTGGTCGGTAAAAGAATCACAGAGAAATTGGTGAACATACATAGAAAAAAAAACATCGCCACAAACAAATTGAGAACCTCCTCCTTTTGTTGATAGTGGGGAAGTCGGTTAAAAAAAAATATTGATTTCAGAATACCTAGTTTTTTTTAACTGCATAATCTTGTAGTTGTTTTAATTCCAATAACATAAGATAAATGTTATTTGTTATAACCTTATTTAGCTACGTAAATCAAATATGTAAAATACTGTAGGCCTACCTATTCGATGTACATGTTAAACATGACAACAACATATCGCATGCTTTATACTGGATATTAGAAGCTAATGAATAACCGAAGAGCCGTTATTTATTTACATAAACCAATTAATAAAATCAATTACAACAATGCATCTTGGCCGATACGTAGCGTAGCTGACCATGGGGGTAGATTTCCGGGGGTAGATGTCTGGGGGTAGATGTCCGGGGGTAGATTTCCGGGGGTAGATGTCCGGGGGTAGATGTCTGGGGGTAGATGTCCGGGGGTAGATGTCCGGGGGTAGATTTCCAGTCGCGGGCTGTTTCTCGACCGTGTATAGGCCCCGCCCCTCGTGACGTCAAAATGACGTAGGCGTTTTTTCATGGGGGTAAATATCCGGGGGTAGAAATCCGCTACCCCCGTTGTGTAACCCATTGTTATTAGTAGGAAGCTTTAAGACTTGGAATTTAAGGTTTTAATTTTATAAAAATGGGAGACTGAAAACCAACAACTATTTACAGCATTGAACAATCACTAAAAATTATTTAACATATGAAATAATACCATGTGTTTCAAATTCAAATACATTTAAACAGTATTTTCTTGGACATAAGAATTGATCTTCAACACCCATTTGTTAGGCCCCATCACGTTAATAACTTTTATAACCAATCGGAAAGTGGTCGAAGATAAAGATTAAGCTGTCGAGATTTGGCAAAAATTGTTGTGCTTATAGTAGTAGGCCTACTTATAGTACATAGTAGTGGTCCATGTTGATCTTAACAAGATCAAACTAATTATTTGCTACGTAGCGGCATTTCAAACACATCATAAAATCCAAAATTACTCAAGAAAACTGGTGTATGGATGATATTTGAACTTTGTTAACATGTATGGTTTTCATTTAAATCAAACTAATTCATCATTTTTTATGAAAGCTAAATTTTTTTTAAGAGGTTGGCGGCCTCTTTTAACCTTGCACTTGCCCGTCCACATAGACTACAGATCTGTGCGTGGAACGTATCCAACAAAGCAAGGGGTGAGACGGTACAGTACAAAGGTGAACTGTACTGATAAAAGTTTGTGGCAGTGACCAGGATCCGAACCCACAACACTGCTGCCTTGGGCCCGAAATCCGCGACGCTCCCAACTGAGCCACCGACTCACCATTGAGCGGAGCGAGCGAAGCTCTTATACGTCGACTCTTATGCATTTCGTAACACGCAAACTCCTCCTAGACGGCTGAATCGATCGTTTTCAAATTTTGCATGCTGATAAAGACCAGATGTGAGTGCCAACATCTATATGGCGTTAAAATTGTCTCTCAGAAATCCGCCCCACTGGGTCTCAAAGTTTCAATGTAATCCTTAAGGAAGCAGTATTTGACAAATAAACAAAGACATGATCAGCTGTTGACTTTTGAATGCAGTAGGTAAAGAAATAGCTGATAGCATTATTCCACAGATATTAGAACAGAAACGGTATGGATCATAAATATAATCAAATGACAACACTAGCTTGAGGTCCATGACGTAGAAAGTAGTGAAGGAAATAGTAAAGGTGAGCAGTCTGGAGTGTGGAAACTGTTTATGACGATTAGATTTAGGTAGGTCTGCATTCATAAAATTCTATAGTAAGGGAGGAAAACAGGTCCGCGTTGTAGGAAGTGGTGAATGAAGTAGTAAATGCGAGCACTCCGGAATGTGGGAACTGTTAATGACGATTAGATTAAGAGATCTGCAATCCGTTAATGCTATGGGAAGGGAGGGAAACAGGTCCGAGACGTAGGAAGAGGTGAAGGAAGTAGTAAAGGTGAGCTGTGTTGAGTGTGGGAATGGATTAATGTATCTGCAATGCTAAAATGCTATTGAAAGATACTGTAGACTGTAGGTTAAAATGATTAAAACAAAGCTCGAATCGATACATATTTTCAATAAATGCAATCGTTTACAATAGAAATTTACAACTGAGTTGCCAACAGCTGGTTTTTACCTACTCCATAGAAGCTAAAAACGATTTTTACACCCTAAAAAGAGTAGAAATGCTACTTTAGACCCACATGTATGCATTAAAAACCCTTGTTTTTACTGCAGTATGACAAAAACAATATAATATGAACCCTTGATGACTCCGCTCAATTTTGTGGATGCCTCTGGGAACGCCACCTAGTATTAATCATTCAGTTTTTCTCAACTAAACCTATCAGATAAAAAAACACCATATCAACTAAGACACTATTATTTAAAAAGCTGTAGCCTATGTATTACCATGTAAAGACGTCAACATTGTTCGCATTGAAATAAGTGGTTCTGTTCGTTTGAAAAACCCCCACGAGATTAATATACTAACCACAAACCAATTCATCGCTAATATACGGGCTACTAAAAATATTACACATAAGCTTTACCCAAGTAAGCCTAGAACATTTCAAACACAACTTCAACTAAACTGTTAATTATTAATTAACTGCAAGCATGTTTGTTTTATTATTCAAAATGGAACTGTCAATAAACGTCCAAACAAGATGTTAAGGCTATTAGTATAAGATTCAAGCTAGTGTCGTCATTTGATTATATTTATGATCCATACCGTTTCTGTTTTAATATCTGTGGAATAATGCTATCAGTTATCTCTTGATCTACTGCATTCAAAAGTCAACAGCTGATATTATGCCTTTGTTCTTGTGTCAAATACTGCTTCCATAAGGATTACATTGAAACTTTGAGACCCCGTGGGGCAGATTCCTGAGAGATTTCTTTAACACCATATAGATGTTGGCACTCACTGATATGGTATTTATCACCATACAAAATTTGAAAACGATTGCTTCAGCCGTCTAGGAGCAGTTTGCGTATTACGAAATGCATAAGAGTCGATGTATAAGAGCTTTGCTCGCTCCGCTCAAGAATGCCAGAGGCAAAAATAAACACAAATTAAAACAAAAACTTAATTTGACAAAAAACTATACAGTATAAAAAATATGATGGTCTAACATTACCTGTGATGAGGCACTGGTCCTCCATCACTATCAGTCTCATTCACAGCTTCGCATTCACATGGATAATCTCTCAGTTGGTACTCCCAGTAATGGGTAGCTTGATTTGACAACTGCCTGGATTTTCTAAAAATATGTAAATTGATTCAACTCATAAATACATTTACAACCATTCTGGACTTGTCCACTAAGAGGGAGATTTCCCACAGGGAAGTAGGATAGTTATAGGTCATTGTATATTATTTACTGCATATTGAATTATCCTCAGTTAAATCTTATATCTTTAATCTTGGCAAGTAAGTTTAAATTTACATCTATTAATAAAATTGGAATCCGTCCATTTTGGTGTATTTTAAGTGCCTAGGAAGAAAAGAATTTACTCCTGCTGTCCTTACAACTGATGTATTGGGGGAAAAAGATTAGTCACTCGAGTTTGAAGCTCTACAGAAAAGTAACCAAACTAGGCCTCCTTAGAATAACACGGATTAGGCTATACAGGGTGAGTTTTAAATGAGTTCCCCCCCCCCCTACTTTTTTCTACATTTCTTAAGATATCAACTCCGGACCACGTCAGATCATTGTAGAGTAGTAAGTACTTCATTTTGACTGGGTATAAATTTTTGGCCGCAATCTTGGATCCGCAATATTGGATACAAAGTTATTTTTTCAAATGTAAAGGTAGGGTTGTGACCCATCGTTTTAAACTAGATGTTTAACCTGAATACGATGCTGCAATCCGTTTTTAAAAATCTTGATCCATTCTAAAGTTATGAGAACTTTTTATAACATTATTTTTGGCCGATTTTAACATTGTTCATTTAGAAACTAAGAACATAATCGCAAAATAGTGCTAGATAAAGATAAGTTTACACCACCAGTCATTGTATTTTAACTTCCCATAACTTCCATATAAATTTCTGTTGTTTTATTCTACGTATTCCAGTGAAAAATTTTTTTTTAGCTCACTGAGAATTTTTTTATGCCAGTAGTAAGGTGTAAATACTTTTGATTTTCCATACTCTGATCATAAAGGGGTGGTAATCAGTGTGTGTCTACCCCAGAAATGTTCAAAAGGAAACAATAATCAAATATTGGACCATGTCTCAAAGATGACTTTTTATTTGCCTTCATAGAATATAAATAATTTATGTCTAAATTTAGCTTCATATGATTGGGAAGGGCTGATTTTTAAATTAAATAATGAGAATTCAGAAACTAAATTTCAATCAATATTTAACATAATTTAAACAATCATTTTATATTATTTTAAATCCAAACAAGAGTGGTTACTGCTGATCTAGCCTCCATGAAGGAGAAACTTTTGAATTTGTTTTATTTGAAAAATAATACAAGTGATTCATGTAGCCTATTTTAGATATCAATGAGGCTTATAGTGTTTTGAAATATAAATATAAACTATCAGTGAAAGAAGCAAAACTTCAAAGTAATGCATTTCATATAGAAAACAGCAGCAATAAATGTAAAGCCGCTTGGGATTTAATTAAGAAAAACAAAGTATCTAGTGATGTAGGAGCACCAAAAATTGATTCAGACATTATAAATAATTACTTCATTAACTCTATTATTGTTATAAAAAATAAAAACTAGACAAACAAATGAAATGTAGCTCTTATTTGGATTTTGTAGATGAAGAATTGAATAAAAATAACACTGTATTTAGTTTGAATGAAATAACACCGAAAATGATAGTTAATGCAGTGAAGAAAATGAAAAATTCTAATAGTAAAGATGTGTATGGAATGTGAAACAAATTACTTAAAAAGTATTATCCATAGTTTAGATGTACCCTACCCCTTGCGATGAGTACTGTAAATGCATTGTTAAGGGAAGGATTATTTCCAGATTCAATGAAGATTTATCGCGTTTGCCCGGTCTATAAGAAGGGTCCCAAAATCAAGCGCCAGAGTTATTGTCCTGTCTCAATTGTCCCAGTCCTTGGAAAATTAACTGAAGTATACTAGTTTATGAACAAATCAGTGAATATTTTAAGGCAAATGACTTGAATGTTTCCCAATTTGGATTTAGAAAAGGAATGTCTACAATTGATGCTCATGACAATCTCATCAGGCAAATTCATCAGTCCTTTGAAAGCAAGACCTTTGCTCAGGGCACCTTTTGTGACCTGAGCAAAGCATTTGATTGTGTTGGCTTTGAAATTTGTATTAAAAAGTTTGAACTGTATGGGTTTAACGGATCTTCTCTAAATTTTCTTTTATCTTATAAAAAAACCACAAAAAAATAGTAACGTAACAAATAATTTAGTAAACAAATAGAATTTTTCCAATGGGAAAAAGTCACAAGAAAGGGAACCAGGGAAGTAAATTGGGGCGTTCCACAGGACCCACTTCTGTTTTTAATCTACATTAATGACCTTCCAATGGCAATAAATACAAAAACTGTTCTGTACGCGGATGATACAACTTTTTTTCATGAAAACAATTTAACCAACTTGTACTTACAAATTTAGTCCATGTCACAAAATTAAATGCATCCAAATGGTTTCATAACAATGGATTTCTATTGAATGACTATAAAACTCAAGAAATAAAATTTACGTGAAACACAAATCTGCCTTAAATAATGAAAATAGTGCTGTCACTACAAAATATTTGGGTCTTCATATTGATAATCAACCATCCTGGAATGATCATATAAATTGATCACATAAAAATCCCGTTTCTCGTGCATAAACGCAGCCTTAGATTTGGCAACCATTTCTAGCAGTGTGATGACAACTAAAATTGGAAACAAACTGAGGTGGATAAATGATAGCATTTTTGGGGTTGTAATACTTATGGACCTTTTGATAGAATGCAAAACATAATGTGTCCTGTGAGTCAGTCGTCAGTGACATACACTGCATGAATCCTAGACACCATTATTACAACTTTCTTAAATGACTTTTTTGTGACCGAGGCTTTCTGTAGACACCAGCCTGAAAAACTCGCTTAAACATCATGACAGGGCAGTTACTTATACTAGACACCTCACCAAGATTACTAGACACCATTACCATTACTAGACACTATTAGCCTACCTAACTTAGATTAACCTAAACGTAATCTGGATGTGGTGTCTAGTAATCATGGTAATAGTGTCTAAGTTAGTAATCTGGGTGTGGTATCTAGTAATCAAGGTATGGTGTCTAGTAAATTGGGCTTGGTGTCTAGTAGTCTAGGTATTGTGTCTAGTAATCTGGGGTGGTGTCTGGTAATCTTAGTAATGGTGTCTAGTATAATCTGGGCGTGGGGTCTAGTAAACTCTTGGTGAGGTGTCTAGTATAGTAAACTGCCCTGTCACGATTTTTAAGCACTTCCATATCGGTTGGCACAAACAAGCGAAAGAGTAATATTGATTATTCGATTGTTTAATTCAATATATCGTTTGGTTAGTTAGGTTAGGTTAACCTTACCTAACGAACCAAACGATATATCGAATAATCGATATATATCAACATTATCAACCCATATTTTCATTCGGTTGTTTGTGCCGACAGATAAGTTATGGAAGTGTACCCAGTGGCGGTTCCAGGCCCTTGTCAAGGGGGGGATACCGGGTGGCTGGGGGGGTGTGGAGCACCCCCCAATAAAGTAGGGGGGTCCGGGAGTCCACCACTGGGAAAACTAGGAATTTTCAAAGCAGTTTGGTGACTTTCAAGAGCCATTTTTAACACCTAAAACCATGCCCAATTGTCCATAGGCCTAAACTCCCATCTCACCTGTTGTTTGTCATGAGCAGACATTTTAAAAATTAAACTATGACGAGTGCATTCATGAATTTCAACACAGACTACGGCCATATCCTCCTAAAAGCCGTTGGGTGACAGGGTGACTTTCTACAGCCAGTTTTAACGTCTAGAACTGTGTGCAAAACCTCCCATTTCCCCATTTATTTGTCATGAATAAGTAGACATCTTAAAATCTACAGTAACACTATGACGATTGCATTCATAAATCTCAAAACATATTGTAGGCTACGGCCATATCCTCATAAAAGCTGTTTACTGACTTTCTAAAGCCATTATTAATGCCTATATCTGTGTCCAACAATCTCTCGTTTCACCTGTCATTTGTTTTGTCATGAGCAAGTAGACATTAAAAAAATCAAGCTATGACGACCTTGCATTCATGAATTTCAAAGCATAGGCCTACTGTAGACTACGAAGCCAAATCTTCTAAAAGCAGTTTGGCGACTTTATCAAGTCATTTCTAACGGCTATAACTGTGTCCAATTGTCCTAAAACATTCCATTTCACCTGTTATAGCCTATGTCATGCAATCAAGTAGACACGTTTATTAACCTTACGTTTTTCTCCATTTCATAGATCTGTCACAATAAGTTATGTATAGTATCGAATTCAGTAATAGCATTGACTATATATACTGTAACACTTAGTGTTTAAATATATAGTCAATGGTAATAGGCTACTGGTGCTACCGCTGATCGCTTGCTGATTAAGGCCTGTGTAAAGTTAGTGGCTAGCAGACAATTTGACAACTAACTATGGAACATCAGGAAATCAGCTGTTTCCCCGTCCTCGCTCGCCATTACCCTGGCATGTCACCTGACTGTTGTAAAAATTGGATGATGCGTAGGCTAGTGCGTACAACTTTCCATAGCGTAATATTGTTTTATTCGTTGTGCTATTATTGTCCACAAAGTTTTATTATTGTCCACAAAGTTTTATCCATGTGAAACTTAATAGGCTACTACTCCTGCCATCGCTCATTAAGTTTAATAAAAACTACGTTGATGTCTGTTTTATGACAGTGTTTTAAGGACGAGATGTACGTTCAAAATTTATTTTTCCAGGGTCCAAGGGGGAGGGGGTTTTTAGCCCCTGAACCCCTCCCCCCCTTGGAACCACAACTGAGTGTACCCATTTAAGCGAGTTTGGTAATTATTCCGTATAGGTGCCTCCAAACGAATTTTTAATTTTGATATCTTACTTTATAGTTTTTTACCTCCTGAATCCAAATATACCATTATTTTTCACAGCTGATGAATATTTCTCAAGATATCGCCGTATTAATATACAACATTACAATAAACAAGGTAGGATGGATGACATTTACAAGTGGAATGAACTATGGGTTAAGTAAGCC